ATAAAATGGGACCACCTCTGTTACGCAGCTAAACAGTGGAAGGTAGAATTGAAGTTCTCTTTTGCACACATTATTGGGGATACAGAATTGCATGACAAACTTTGTGGAAAATATKGACCCTTTAACAAGGAYGTGGTTTGAATGTGCAGGYATTGCAATTGTTACTCTTCAAATATCGACATTCCTTCTGTTCAAGAAAATGCAACCAAGTGGATGCCAAAGGTCTTCCACTCCTTCCCTGATGCTAGTCTAGAAGCAAAGATTAAATACTTCAAGAATCAGTCACACCATGACATCAARAATGTATTTTATGGTCTCTGTTTTGGTTCAAACCATCACAACATCCACTTTGCCAGTGTGGATCTGTAGAGTGTGACTATGGTCCTATGTTGAAGAYAGGTCTGTTTGTTTCTAACACAATAGGTCATCTTGCTCAAAAGTATGGTGCTCTGTTGTCTTGCCAGTCAGACAGAGATTTTCTGCAAACCAAATTTGSCWCCCATCTCTTATCAACAAACAAAAAAGGYCATGATTTTTCTGGTATGCTTATATCCATTGTTGTTGCAATATCCTCCAAACTTGGGTTGGAAGTTATCCAGGACAATAATTTCATCAAGAAACAAATTGAAATGATAYAACTAATTATCTCCATGGATGAATTTTTGAAGTATGGAAAGACAAAAAGAGRGSCCCTAAAGAACCTAAAATGCACAACTGTTCATTTTATTAACTGTATCAATTCAACATGCTACAGAAAGGGTATGGGGACAAAGCTCATAAAGAATCATTTGTATTTTCATATGACTGACTACTACATCAAACTTTGGGGACCTCCTGCTTGATGGGATTCAGCACCAAGTGAGAGTTATCAAAAGACAGAAATCAAGGCCCCCTCAAAGAACACACAATACAATGCATCCAAATTGATACACCAGACTGCCAAGAGATAGTCAGAYAAAATGTTGATAAGTACTGCTACCCAGTATTATAATCTGAAGGAGTCTGAAGCAGATCCTGTTCAATACTACCCAGAAGAAGCTGGATCTCAATTCAAGGYCATGAAGGATGAGCAAGGACAGCCAACAATGGACAGCCAACAATGGAATGGCAAAGGGMAAAGAACAAAGCAAAACCCTTCTTTTCTTCTGCTATTCTTGAATTTGTTTGCAACTCCAGAAATGTTGCACATAGAACTTTTGCTTCAGTGAAGCCCTCAAAGAAGTTGTACGTGAAAAACAATCACTATTAATCTCAGAAACCTGCCCTCCAAAAACAGGCATGGCAAAAGACCATTTTTTTGTGATCACTGTTTTGATTCATGTAAATCACTTGAATCCTCTTCTGTAATGGAATGATGRACATACCTCAAKATTGTCTTGGACAAATGGTTCTGTGGTCAAGCATGGCAAATAATAGATTTATTGGTCCAGTGTACATTCCATTTGATCCTCCTGTTCTCATTTGTTCAATCTTATCATGAAGGGTGAGCTTGCTGATGTCCTCAAACAAAGAATCAGACGACGGTGCAACCCAATCATAAAACCTACAGAACAACATGTTTTTCCTTCCTCCAAACTGTTGRCCATACTTTCCAACACTGAYTGTGAGATCAATTTGGAGGTCTGTCATCAATTGAGAAGCCATAGCTACTTCTGCTGCTCCAGTGTTTCAGGAGTATGTTCTGCAGGACCAGGATTGTCTTTGTCAAATGCCTTCATGTCCTCATTAATCTCAATCAAGTCAATGACCCAATTGTTGTATTCCTTGCCACTGTCTTTAATGTCATATGTGTACCTAGTGATGAAGTTGATCTTTGATAACAAGTTTGCTTTGTTGTCCCCCAACCATTATTCCATTTTCCCCAACCATCTGTTGGGAAAGTATGCAGGGATGTATCTGCAGTTCCAAGTTGTTGCTTCTTTGCCAGGTCATTTCCAACAGCAAAGTGTTGAACTGCTTTGTGACATTCTTYGGGACGACCAAGACCATGGACATCCACAATACCACTTGAAGCAAGGGGAGAATCAATCMCAAGGCCATGCTCAGGGAAGACAATTGATCCATCATRTTTCAACTTGTCACCTCATTTTGATAGTACTGGTTGCTAGCAGTCTTCAATCCAATTGGTGTRCACATCACTGMATTCTTTCTTCTGTTGATTSAACCAGCATGCATGGCATGATGGAACAGTGCTATGATTGCTTTGCAGAGCATCATCAAGCAATGTWAGGTARTGTGGTAATGGTTCAGAACAAATRGCMTGKGCTTCACTAACCAGTGAGTTGGTACAATGGAGGCACATGAAACACCCACAGTTGTTGCATGTGACTCCCTTGTCAAAGAGATTCTCAGAATGGGCACATTCCCAAACAAACTTCCTGGTACCCTTGTTTTGAAATGTATTCTTGCTSCYCAGGATACATCAGGGCCRGGTTGCACTTTGAAAGTGTTTGCTGCTAGTCTTCATGTTGGTGAAAGAACTTGACCTRGARTGGACCTGCTGTAGTGGGCCTTAACCTGTAGCAAAAATATCAGGAGCAACCGGAGAAAGGAATTGATGACAATAGTAAAAAGTTGACAATTGAGTCTTTTTTGGGGGTCAAAATGTGATTGTGACAAAGTATTATTTTGCTATGGGTCTTGGAAAWTYTTTGTTCATGAATGGAATTATATTTGGTGCGTGTGACATGCACAAATGAATTAATTTTTTACATCACAAAGAAAAATAAAAACAGTACCGTCCGTTAAAGTGGTCAACAGTGGGGGCTCGATTGCAAAAGAATAACAGGGTGTTTTTTTGTGTGTGTTAAAACACACACACAAATTATGGTCACAACAAAGAACAAGCATCTCTTGGACATAACTATGATGCACAGAAAATTGATGCAATATTTTCTGATGCTCCTCAGGATGCTAGTGCAGAGGACACTGATACAGATGATGCTGATACAAGAATACAAGTTGCTGGCTGATACAGAGCATCATGTTGAAATGATGGACAATGCTGGCATGGAGGATGCCAAGAATGCAAAAGATGCCAATGTGGAAGATGCTGGATATGGATGCTGGTGATAGTTGAGAACCATGCTGATGTGGAATGCTCACTGGTGAAACGCCAGGTGATACAGAATACTACTGAAACTGCTGACTGGTGCAGAGGAAGGGATACAAAATACCATTAATAGTTGTAGCTACTGGTGCTGTCTAATTTCCACTATGTATGGTGATATTTTAATTGTAAGAAGCATGGTCAGTATTCAGATGTCAGTAGAAGCATTATTACTAGGTACTGGTGTTGTGTTTGTGACGTTATATTTCAGTTTGTAATGTATGTATTCTTGTTGCAGTTTGCTATTGTTCAACAGTAACTTCTAATTAATTCCAGTATAGTTTCCTGTTGTTTAACAGCAGAATTTAACTTTTTTGTAACTCCATCCCAATYGCAATTTTAAGGGTTTTTCCCTGTGARTTTCCAAGATTTTCCTCTCTCTCAGACTGTGTAGACTGCAGTACAAGTCCTACACAAAATAAGACTGAAATATAGGAAAAAGCATAAAACAAATAAAACCACTTTTCTGCTCATTCATTCATTCCTCATAATTTCCARACAAGAAAAAATAAAACACTCCAAACACTCCAAACCAAACCAAACCATAAACTATCACACAAACAATCATAGTTACCAATGTAAAATTACTATCATAATGCTACTATCACCACCACAATGATGGATGGTGATGATGATTCTTTCTTCTATCATCATGATGACATTTTTTTGTATGGTAGTGATGTAAAACAAACTAACTGCTAATCAACATTTTGGTCCAACAGACCCTCACAGGAGTCCTTCCCAAGAGGACAGCAGTGTTCTCAGTGGTGGCCCCGTGCTATTGGTTCTCTTGAAAGTGTTTGTGATGCCACCTAGTACTCTGATGTATCCTCTGGTGATGAGATCCACCAAGAAGTCCGTGACCATGACCTCTCTGATTCATATGATCTGGAACAAGATGAGCTGGACTATCTTTGCCAGGACTTGATCTGCATCTCTCTGCTGTCTACAAATGTGTCACAGGTGAAGAACTTCTTACCAATGCACACAAATCTATGGAAGAATGTAAAGTTGTAGCCTGKGCTGACTTCTCAAGGTACAAGGACACAGAGCAAAATTTTTTGACAATTGAGAGTATCTGCTGGTCAGTAAAGGATCAGAACCAGTTCTTACAGGAGGAGAAATCAACAGCAATGCCAACACAGCTTGGAAGTTGGGTGATGACGATGCAGAGATGGATTTCTTGCATTTGTTAGCCAATATGTTCATTTACAGCAGAAGCCAAGCCAATCACACTGATGACCCCCTCTGCAAATTAGGACATCTGGTAGTCTTTGTCTTGGGTGGCATGCAAATAATGATCTGTTTGTTAATGAGTCTATGACTAGCTAGTATTTACTACAAAGGAAGATGAGCAATCCAGTTTGTCTAGTGTCTTCCTACTAGTAATAAGCCAATCAAGCATTGTACCAAGAAGGTAGTAGTATACTGTCTCTGTGATGCAGACACTGGGTACTTACCTGCCTTGAAGATCTGCAATGGTGTTAGTAATGGGTCAACATGTGATA